GTACTGGAAGGTCACAACAAGGTCCCCCGGAGCGTTTCTCTTCCCCAGGCTGAACTACCCCAGCTCTCTCAGCCTGTCCTCATAGCGGAGCTGCTCCAGCCTTCTCACTGTCTCCATGGCACCCTCCAAACCTGCTTCAACACCTCCATGTTCTTCTTGTGTTAGTGGCCTCAGAGCTTGCAGCACGACTCCAGGTGGGGTTTCACAAAGTCAGAGTTGAGGGGAAGAATCACTTCTCTCCACTGGCTGGTCATGCTTCTCTTGATGCAACCCAAGACAAATTTGGACTTCTCAGCCATAAGAGCACATTGCTGCCCATGCAGAGCCTTTCATCAATCAACACCTCAAAGTCCTTTTCCTCAGGGCTGCTCTCAAGACGTTCTCTGCACAGCTTGTATTTCAGCTAGGGATTGTCTTGACCCAGGTGCACAACCTCTCACTTGCCTTGCTTGAACTTCATGAGGTTGCCATGGGCCCGCCTCTTCAGCCTGATCAGTCCCTCTGGATGGCATCCCTTCCATCCAGCATGTCCACAGCCCCACTCAGCTCGGAGTCATCTGCAAACTTGCAGAGGGTGCACACAATCACAGAATCATAGAATGGCTTTGCTTGGAAGGAACCTCAAGGATCAGCCACTTCCAACCACCTTGCTGCACTCAGGGCCCTGTCCATGTCACACACACAGATGTCCAATAGCACTGGTGCCAGCACCAGTCCCTGAGAAATGCCACTCATCACAGAACTGCACTCAGGCATTGAGCCACTGACCACAGCTCTCTGAGGACAAACTTGCAGCCAATTCCTTACAGAGTGAGAGATCCATCCATCAAAGGCACTTGTCTCCAAATTGGTGATCAGGATGTTATGTGGGACCGTGTCCAATAATGTGGGTAAGTCCAGGTAGGTACACTTGGATGGCAGTAAGGGTGGCAGTCTGTTAAAACTGCTTCAGACATGTAAATGCATACGAAGCATCGATGCATCACTGAATTCCTCCATGCAGAAGCAATCAGACCTGCTGACATTCACCAAGGCTTAATGAATGTTTATGGAGACCAAACTGTGGATGTCAGCACCATGAGGTGTTGCACGATGTAATTCAGCAGTGGCAAGAGACAGTCAGCTCCTCAGATGTACATTAATAAGGGCGTGACATGCAGGCTCCATTTCAGTGAAAACACATCGCCTTTCCTGTGGCCCCTTCATGTGCTGGAAGGCTGTTATAAAGATCCCCTCGCAGCATTTTTCTTCTCTAGGCTGAAGAGTCCCAGCTCTCTCTGCCAGTTCTCATAGCAGAGCTGCTCCAGCCCCCTCATCATCTTCGTGGCCCTCCTCCAGACCTGCTCCAACAGCTCCATGGCCTTCTTGTGTAGCAAGCACCAGAACTGGACACAGTACTCCAAGCGGGGTCTAAAGAGAGCCAAGTAGAGGTCAGAATCACCACCCTCAGCATGCTGGCCAGGCTTCTCTTGATGCAGCCTAGGAAAGCTTCGGCCTTCTGGGCTGCAGAGCACATGGTCACCCATCTTCAGCCTCTCAGCAAGCAACACCCCCAAATCCTTCTCCTCAGGGCTGCTCTCAAGCCGTTCCCTGCACAGCCTGTATTTCAGCTAGGGATTGCCTTGACCCAGGTGCACAACCTCTCACTTGCCTTGCTTGAACTTCATGAGGTTGCCCTGGGCCCACCTCTTCAGCCTGATCAGTCCCTCTGGATGGCAGCCCTTCCCTCTAGCAGGTCACCTGCAAACTCAGCTTGCTGTCATCTGCAAACTTGCTGAGGGCGCACTCAATTTCCTTGTCCACGTCACCTCCAAAGATGTGAAATAGAAACAGTCCCAGCACTGACCCTTGAGGGGCGATGCACATCAACAGTTTCTACATGGACATTGTGACAGTGACTGCAACACTCTGAGTGCAATCACACAGACAATTCTCTATCCAGCAATCAAAACCCAACCATCAAATCCATGTCTCTTCAATTTGGTGACCAGATGTCATGCGCAACCTTATCAAACCTTTCACAAGTCCACCTGGATGACATCAGCTGCTCTTCATTCATCCACTGATGCTGTAACTTCATCATAAAAGGTCACCAGGTTTGCCATACATGACTTGCCCTTGGTGAAGCCATGTCAGTTACCACCAATCCCCTACTTTGTTGTCCATGTGCCTCAGAAGGGCCTTCAGGATGATCTGCTTCATGATCTTACAAGGCACACAGGTGAGACTCAGCGGCCTTCAGATCCCTGCATCTTCTGATTTTTGCTTCTTGAAAAGGTGGCTATGTTTCCAATTTTCCAATCAGTGAAAACTTCACCAGACTGCCATGACCTTTCAGATATGATGGATAGAGCCTTGGCAACTTCGTCTGCCTCAGAACACATGGATGGATCTCATAGTGTCCCATGAACTTCTGCTCCTGCAGGTTCTTTAGATGATCACCAACCCGGTCTTCACTGACAGCAGGCACATCTTCCTTCTCCCAGTTCTTACCTTTGCTTTCTGCAGCTTGGGCCGTGCAGCTGGAGCCCTGCCTGGGGAAGACTTTCACAATCCCCAGCTCACCACACAGAAATATCTCTCCATTCTCCATCACTGTTGAATCACATCATTGCATTTTCAAAGTATGAACATTTGAGAAGTACGGTTTTAAATTATAAAGCATTGAAAGAGTAAAATTTCATCAAAAAACTCTAATGAAGACATTGAGACCTCAGTAAGAAATGCATCCATTCCCACCAACCCAGCCTGATGCATTGTGTCACCAAAAAAAGGTCAAATATCCCAATGACTTCATGGTTTTGTTCCTCTTTATTATTTCTAAGTTATAAGAAAAATATTAAGAACTTCAATGTTTTCTTCCTTTCCTCATAACAATAATGTACATTCTAGGGGATGCTCTGAAAGTAATGCCTGCCATTCTACTGTGGTGGCCCATGATATCCAAGGCGGATGTTGAAGGTCTGGCAGCAGAGGTTGAACCTTCCCACCAACATCCCATTCTCTTTGGGAACCACGTGACAGATGGATGCAGAGGGCAGTCTGATGAACTGACATCTGACATGGAAGTGCGTATGTGGCAACCAGGCAGCACTGACTTATGCCATGCAGAAACAATTGCACCCACTGAGATTCACCAACGCTTGCTGAAGGTTTATGGAGACCAGACAGCGGAGCTGAGCCATGAGGTGGTGGGTGATGCGTTTAAACGTCAGCAACACAGGGTCACCTCCACTGCTGCAGATTATTATGAGCACAACATGCAGGCTCAGGTACACCACCGTTCAATATGCACAGATGTCACAGTGACTACATTGAAAAATAGCAATTTCCAGCTGTGAATCTGCACCATCCAACAGTGTGACAGTGTGTCTTTTGTCACTTGATATTACCATGGAAATAAATAGGAGGCATTACTTTCAGAGCAATGTCTCTCTATGCAGCCTGCACCTTTCCTATGTACTCAGTGCAGCCCAGGCAAGCCACAACGCTGCACACCCACGTGTTGCGCTGTGTCCCAACACCACGAGTGCAGCTGTATTGCTGGCTGCTGCACTCAGCAATGACCCCGTTGAACAGCTGAGCTGCAGGAGAATGCATCAGAGTGGCTGGAAAAGAGCACAGCTGGATGGAGAGACATCATGACCAGGAGGCAAAACACACAGCACACACGGGGAGAAGCACAACGCTGCAAAGCAAGAAGGCAGTGCCTGCACCTCTTGCAACACAGGGCTCCAGAGCAGCATTCTCATAACCTGCTGCACGTTTCTGTTCATCACCTTCCTTCAGAGAACATGCAGGGAAACCTTCCTTCTCACTCAGCGGTCTGGGAATGTGTGATGCCAACTGCAAACGCAGCTTCCCTCTGGAGCTCCATGCCATTGCACACAGCCCTTCCTTTCTCCACCCACTAAGACACCGGCTGGGCAGACTCACTGCTAATGAAGGGAACCCCAGAAAACTGCCCCACACACTGAGCCCCGCACCTCTGCACTTCTGCATCCCCACACGGATCAGCATGGCCCAAATGATCACCCAGCACAAGGGACAAGAAAGGAGCTGGGCACCGGGCAAAGAACCCCACTACAGAGGCAATCCAGAAACACACAGAACACATCAGAATCCTGTCTTTACATGGCACGTATAAAACAGGCACTGTGTTGTTGCTGCAGCTTAAAGGAGTAGAAGGAACACGAGGCATTCTAGACAAACACAAACAACCCAGCCCTCAGAAGCTCTCTCACACACTCAGATGCTGCCCACTACACTTCCAGGGGATCGTCAGCCATGCCAGCTCTGCCCCAGCTCTATCTGCTCTTGCTCCACCTCAAGTTACAATTACTGAAGCATTTATACAAAAGCACTTCTACACAAAAAGAAACTTTCACTGCAACAGACAGCACTGCACACCGATGGCATTCAACACAAACCAAAACAAGTCACACAGGGAAGTTGCATAATGGGGAATTATAACAGAAACCTTCTTACCCTCTTCATGATTTCCGCTAACGTCAGAGAATGCAGCCCATGTGCACAAAGCAAAGCTGCAACTCCCTGTGCATCCAGTGAACGTGGCTGGAAGATTCAATAGAGCAGGACAAACGTATTTCCAGGCTGGAGCATTGGCAGGTCCCACTCTCCTCACTCAGTGGCGTGCCTGGAAACGCTTGCATGCAAGCCCTCATCAGCCACAGGAAGCCAACCATTGCAACTGATGAACTCTGCTCGCTTCACAGGTGGCACCAAATCCAGCCCTCACATCCTGCACGCTCTGTCCTCATCCAGCTGGCACATGGGCTGTCAGCAGAAACACACATTTCTGGGGACCTCTTGAAACACAGGGAATTTCTGTTGTGGCCAGAGCTAGAAGGCTGAGGGACTGAAATCCAGGGGAGACTCAGAAAGCACACACTCACTTTCCTGTTAATATCCACAGCTTCCATTACACTTACGTTCTTGTGGAATGGGAGGAAAACTACAAATGCAGATCTAAACAAGCAGACATGGAGATAACTATCAAAGCACAGAAGCCTCACTAAACAAGCCTTGATGCTGCCTGAAGCGCAGACGCAGTGCTAATTACAAGCCGTGAAACTGTCCCACAGCCTGCATCCCGGGGCTCTCGACATCAGCATCCCCCACGGGGACAGGGACAGCAGGGAAATGCTCGGCATCGTCGCCGGCCACCCCCGTGCTGCAGCGCTGCGCCGGCAGGCTGGGCAGCACGGGCTTGAGGAACTGGAACTCGCTGCTGCCCGAGCCCGTGGTGAGGCTGAGCTCGTAGCAATAGGCGTGGGGCAGGGTGCCGGCAGCGGCCCCGTCAGCCACGCAGCTCGGCACGCCGCTGGGGCCGTACAGCACGTGCCCGCTACTCGGCTCCTTGCTCTTGCACGCCTTGCACGCCGCAAAGGCCGCCGCCGACACCAGGAACAGGAGCGAGACCAAGACCAAGGCGACGATCAAGGAGGCGGTGAGGGAGCCGTCGTCGTCGTGCGCGGCGGGGCTCTGCTGCGGCAGCTCAGCGTCCCGGGAGCCGTGCAGGAGGAGCACGCTGAGCGCCGCCGTGGCCGACAGCGGCGGCCGCCCGTTGTCCCGCACCAGCACGACCAGCTTCTGCTTCGCCGCGTCCCTCTCCGTCGGCGGCCTCCTCAGCCGCACCTCCCCGCTTTGGGCGCCCACGGCAAACAGCCCCGGCTCCGTGGCCCTCAGCAGCCGGTACGAAAGCCACGAGTTCTGCCCCGAGTCGGCGTCCACGGCCACCACTTTGCTCACCAGGTCCCCCGCTTCGGCCCACGCGGGCACCGGCTCGCTCCAAGCAGGGCCGCCGTCCTGCGCGCTGGGGTGCAGCACCAGCGGCGCGTTGTCGTTCTCGTCCACCACCAGCAGGCGGACGCCGACGCTGCTGCTCAGGGGAGGGGACCCCGCGTCCGCAGCGCTCACCACCACCTCCAGCTGCCTCAGCTGCTCGTAGTCCAGCGGCCGCAGCACGAACACGGCTCCGCTCTCGGAGTTCACGGACACGCACGAGCACGGCTCTCGCTCGGGCGGATCGGCCGCCACCAGCGAATAGCTCACCTTGCCGTTGGCTCCCGCGTCCGCGTCCCTTGCCTGCACGGCCCCGACCAGCAGCGCGGGGACGTTGTTCTCGTGCACGTACATGGTGTACGACGTCTGGTTGAACACGGGCGCGTTGTCATTCACGTCCGAGACGTCCACGGTGAACGTGTGGCTGCCGCTCAGACGAGGAGACCCTGCATCTGCGGCCGTGACAACCACCGTGTAACGTGCCGTTTGCTCCCGGTCCAACGCGCTCACGGTCACCAGCTCGTAGTAGTTCTTAAAGGCCGGCCGCAGGGAGAACGACAGCTGTTCTGCCAGGGCACAGCTGATCTCCCCATTCACACCGGAATCCTTGTCGGTGACAGAGAAGAGGGCGACCACTGTCCCGGGTGCTGCATTCTCCGGGATCGGGCTGCTGAAGGAACTGACCACGATCTCTGGTGCGTTGTCGTTCACATCCACCACCTCCACCAACACCTTACAGAGTGCTGACAGACCTCCACCATCCGTCGCGCGCACACTGAGATCATATTTCTGTTTTGTCTCAAAATCGAGAGGCTGTTTTATTCGAATTTCTCCATTTTGGGGGTTGATTGTAAATGCCGGCTGGCTCTGGCTCAACACTTGGCTGAACTGATAGGAAATGTCACCATTAATTCCCACATCTGCATCAGTGGCCGTCACACGGAGAACTAAGGAGTCCTCAGGGGCACTTTCCACAATGTGTCCTGTATATAAATCCTGGGTGAAAATGGGAGCATTGTCGTTTACATCCAGAACTTTGATGTGAATTTGAGTGGTTCCACTCCTCGGTGGAGAGCCCCCATCCGTGGCAACGAGAGTGAAATCCATCTCTGGCTGCTCCTCTCTGTCCAGAGTCTTTTGCAAAACGAGCTGGACCTGCACATCATGCTCATTTTTTCTCTGATAGGAGACAGTGAAGAACTCGTTCTCAGGAACGATGCTGTAAGCCTGGATGTCATTGCTGCCAATGTCCAGGTCCTGAGCAGCCTCTACTGGGAAACGGGAGCCCGGGTCGCTGGTTTCAGGGATCTTAAAGGTCAGCCGTTCGTCCGGGAAGACCGGCGAGTGGTCATTGACGTCCTCCACGGACACCTCAATGGGAAAGAACTGCAGCGGGTCGGCGAGCAGCAGCTCGAAGGCGAGCGTGCAGGTGCGGGAGCGTCCGCACAGCTCCTCCCGATCGAGCCGCTCGGCGAGCACGAGGCGGCCGCTGCCGCGCTCTAAGCCAAAGTGCTGCCGGCCGGCCGGCGAGGCGATGCGCGCCCGGCGAGCCCAGAGCTGCGCCGGGGCCAGCCCCGCGTCCTCCGCCACGTCGCCCACCGGCGAGCCGCTCTCGCCCTCCTCGGCCACGGAGTAGCGGATGGGCTCGCAGCGAACGCGCGCCACGCCCAGCAAAGCCCACACACACAGCACTTGCCTCGCAGCCGCCATGCCGGGCCGCCGGACACCCTCCGGCCGGCCGGGAAGCGCGCTCCTCCGCGGGAAGCGGCGCCTGGCAGCAGCGCGGCGGGACGGACGGTGGGCCTCCCTCCCCGCTCGGCTCTCTCGCCGCCTCTCACCGACTGCGGACTGAGCCCGGAGCCCGGAGCGCGATCGTCACAGCGCGGCGGCGGCTCACACGCACCTCACGGCAGCACGGACAACCGCTCGCCGCCGCTCTCCGCCGCCGCTCTCCGCCGCCGCTCTCCGCCGCCGCTCTCCGCCGCCGCTCTCCGCCGCCGCTCTCCGCCGCCGCTCTCCGCCGCCGCTCTCCGCCGCCGCTCTCCGCCGCCGCTCTCCGCCGCCTCCTCCCGGATGCGCTGTGCTGCGCTGCGCTCGGCTCGGCCTCTCCCTCTCCCCGCCCCGCCCGCAGCCGCTCGGCGCCGCCTTGGCCACGAGCACCACCCTGCGGCCCGCGCCGGGACTGCTCCGGGGACGGGACGCGCTCCTGCCCGCGCCCTCTCGCCGCCACACGCACCCCGCACACACGCGCGCACCCCCGCTGCCTCCCGCTCGCACACGCCGCCGCCCCGGGCAGCGCCCACAGCCAGCGCCCGCGCTCCTGCCCGCACGCCGCCTCGGACAACGCAACGAAGCTGCAGCGCCCGCCACCTCCCCGCCTCCTCGCCCGCCCCGAAAGCCGCCAGCCCGACCCACCCAAATCCTCGCACCCGTTAATATCAGCCCCGATCTCAAACCTCAGCCGCTGTAGGAAGCACAGAGGCAACGACAAGGGGATGACAATGTCTCCTAAATAGTTCTTCTTCAGTTGCAAGCATCCAACACCAAAAAACCCCCAAGGTTTTCCAAAACTCTGCTTCTGCTCTGCAGATCTTTCCCCTTAAAATAATCCACCTCTGCAAACTTTCTCAGAACAACACCATCCATTTTATTACTGAAATGGCACCAAGTCCCCTCTCATAACAGTTCCACAGGCCATCCTCGTTCACAACATTACACTTCACGGTTCAACATTACACAGTGCCAGTGAATTTTGAATATCTTGTGCCACAGCATCTTCTTTCTAACATTCCCTTATTCTCTGTGGGGTGGCAGGACACGTTAAGGAATAGATATGTCAGTAGGAAAACACGGTGCAAACAGGAAAATGGAAAAAAGAAGAAGTAATTGTGTGCACTTTCATATATCTGCAAAACAAAGCACACTGAACAGCAAAGACTGCTGTGCTTTCAAGTATGAAAAAGGAATTTGAAAACAGGTTTCAGGACTGCAACAAAAAATCATGACTTTATGTCTAAAATATGATTTCCTGCCCATATAAATCTATTAGCAGTTAATTCTCAAATTGAATGGACGGAGTTGCAACCAGGTATTTAGCTCAAAAATCTGACTACGTGTCTTTACCAGACTTCATAAATCCCGGAATGGTTTGGGTTGGAAGGGAACTGAAAGATCCTCTAGTTCCAACTCTCCTGCTATAGGCAGGGACACCTCCCTCTAGCCCAGGTTGCTCACAGCCCCATCCTGCCTGGTCTTGGATGCTTCCATGGTGGGGCATCCACAGCATCTCTGGTAACTCCTTCCAGTGTCTCACCACCCTCACAGGAAAGAATTTCTTCCTAATCTCAGTCTCAATCTACTGTCATCCACCTTCAGGCCACTTCCCCTCATCCTGTCACTACATGCCCTTATAAAGCTCTCATCCCAGCTTTCTGTGGCCTCTTCAAGTGTTGGAAGGCCATTATCAGGTCCTCTTGGAGCATTTTTCTTCTCCAGACTGAAAAACCCCAGTTTTCTCAGCCAGTTCTCATAGCAGAGCTGCTCCAGCCCTCTCATCATCTTCGTGGCCCTCCTCCAGACCTGCTCCAACAGCTCCATGGCCTTCTTGTGTAGCAGGCACCAGAACTGGACACAGTCCTCCAAGCGGGGTCTAAAGAGAGACAAGTAGAGGGGCAGAATCACCACCCTCAGCATGCTGGCCATGCTTCTCTTGATGCAACCTAGGAAACCTTCGGCCTTCTGCACTGCAGAGCACACTGTCGCCCATCTTCAGCCTCTCAGCAAGCAACACCCCCAAATCCTTCTCCTCAGGGCTGCTCTCAAGCTGTTCTCTGCACAGCCTGTATTTCAGCTAGGGATTGCCTTGACCCAGGTGCACAACTTCTCACTTGTCTTGCTTGAACTTCATGAGGTTGCCATGGGCCCGCATCTCAAGCCTGATCAGTCCCTCTGGATTGCAGCCCTTCCATCCAGCATGTCCACAGCACCACTCAGCTCGGAGTCATCTGCCAACTTGCAGAGGGTGCACACAATCACAGAATCATAGAATGGCTTTGCTTGGAAGGAATCTCAAGGATCCTTTGGATAAGTCCAGGTAGGTGACATCAGTTTCTCTTCATTTATGCACAGACGCTGAAAGTTCATCATAAAAGGTCACCAGGTTGCCATACATGACTTGTCCTTGGCGAAGCCATGTTGGTTACCACCAATCACCTCCTCTTTATTTTCCAGGTGCCTCAGTAGGGTCTTCAGGATGATCTGCTCCACAATCTTAGCAGGCACAGAGATGAGACTCAGCGGCCTTCAGATCCCTGCATCTTCTCATTTTTCCTTCTTGAAAAGGTGGCTATGTTTCCAATTTTCCAATCAGTGAGAACTTCACCAGACTGCCATGATGCTTCAAATATGATGGATAGAGCCTTGGCAACTTTGTCTGCCTCAGAACCTGTGAATGGAACTCCTTGGATCTCATGCCCTTGTGCGTCTGCAGCTTCTTCGGAAGGTGACCAACCCGGTCTTCACTGAAAGCAGGCACATCTTCCTTCTCCCAGTTCTTACCTTTGCTTTCTGCAGCTTGGGCCGTGCAGCTGGAGCCCTGCCTGGGGAAGACTTTCACAATCCCCAGCTCACCACACAGAAATATCTCTCAATTCACCATCAGCCTTTACTCATGTCATTACTTATGGGCAGTACGTACACTTGTCAGCTATTGTTTTCAAGGAAGAAACATTTAATCCAAAATTTCTGATGAAGACATCGAGACCACCGTAAGAATTGCATCCACTACCACCAAACCATCCTGATACATTGCTGTCACCAAGAAAAGATCAAATATCCCACTGGTTTCATGTCTTTGCTCCTCCCTTTTCAGAAGTTCTACAAAAAATACTAAAAATTTTGATTCTTTATTTCTTACATAACAACGATTCTGCATAATCTACCAGGGCGGCCCTGAAAGTAATGCCTCCTTATTTACTGCATTGGACCAACTTCTCCAAGGCTGATGCTGGAGGTATGGCAGCAGAGGCTAAGTGGTCCCACCAATATGCCATTGTGGATTTTGGTGCCAAGTGATGGATGGCAGAACAATGGCAGTCTGACAAAACTGCTTCAGACATGTAAATGCATACGAAGTATGACTGAATTCCTCCATGCAGAAGCAATCATATCTGCTGACATTCATCAAGGCTTAATGAATGTTTATGGAGACCAAACTGTGGATGTGAGCACCACGAGGTGTTGGATGAAGTAATTCAGCAGTGGCAAGGTCAGTTGTACATTAATATGAGCGCAACACGCGGGCCCCCATTCAGTGAAAACACATCGCCTTTCCTGTGGCCCCTTCATGTGCTGGAAGGCCGTTATAAGATCCCCTCGCAGCATTTTTCTTCACCAGGCTGAAGAGTCCCAGCTCTCTCTGCCAGTTCTCATAGCAGAGCTGCTCCAGCCCTCTCATCATCTTCGTGGCCCTCCTCCAGACCTGCTCCAACAGCTCCATGGCCTTCTTGTGTAGCAGGCACCAGAACTGGACACAGTCCTCCAAGCAGGGTCTAAAGAGAGACAAGTAGAGGGGCAGAATCACCACCCTCAGCATGCTGGCCAGGCTTCTCTTGATGCAGCCTAGGAAAGCTTCGGCCTTCTGCGCTGCAGAGCACATTGTCGCCCATCTTCAGCCTCTCAGCAAGCAACACCCCCAAATCCTTCTCCTCAGGGCTGCTCTCAAGCCGTTCCCTGCACAGCCTGTATTTCAGCTAGGTGCACAACTTCTCACTTGTCTTGCTTGAACTTCATGAGGTTGCCCTGGGCCCGCCTCTTCAGCCTGATCAGTCCCTCTGGATGGCAGCCCTTCCCTCTAGCAGGTCACCTGCAAACTCAGCTTGCTGTCATCTGCAAACTTGCTGAGGGCGCACTCAATTTCCTTGTCCAGGTCACCTACAAAGATGTGAAATAGGAACGGTCCCAGCACTGACCCTTGAGGGCCGATGCACATCACCAGTCCCTACATGGACATTGTGACAATGACTGCAACACTCTGAGTGCAATCACACAGACAATTCTCTATCCAGCAATCAAAACCCATCCATCAAATCCATGTTTTGTTCAATTTGGTGACCAGATGTCATGCACAACCTTATCAAACCTTTCACAAGTCCACCTGGATGACATCAGCTGCTCTTCATTCATCCACTGATGCTGTAATTTCATCATAAAAGGTCACCAGGTTTGCCATACATGACTTGCCCTTGGTGAAGCCATGTCGGTTACCACCAATCCCCTACTCTGTTGTCCATGTGCCTCAGAAGGGCCTTTAAGATGATCTGCTTCACAATCTTAGCAGGCACAGACATGAGATGCAGTGGCCTTCAGATCCCTGCATCTCCATTTTTTCCCTTTGTGAAAATAGGAGTTATATTTCAATTTTTCGATCAGTGAGAACTTCACCAGACTGATATGACCTTTCAAATATGATGGATAGAGCCTTGGCAACTTCGTCTGCCTCAGAACCCATGGATGGATCTCATTGTGTCCCATGAACTTCTGCTCCTGCAGGTTCTTTAGATGATCACCAACCCAGTCTTCACTGACAGCAGGCACATCTTCCTTCTCCCAGTTCTTACCTTTGCTTTCCACACAGAAATATCTCTCCATTCTCCATCACTATTTAATCACATCATTGCATTTTCAAAGTATGAACACTTGTGAAGAACTGTTTCAAATTATAAACCATTGAAAGAGTAAAATTTCATCAAACAACTCGAATGAAGACATTGAGAACACAGGAAGAAATGCATCCACTCCCACCAAACCAGCCTGATCCGCTTGTGATACCAAAAGAAAAGTCAAATATCCCTCTGGATTCATGGTTTTGTTCCTCTTTATTTTTTTGAAGTTATAAGAAAAATATTAAGAACTTCAATGTTTTCTTCCTTTCCTCATAACAACAATGTACATTCTAGGGGATGCTCTGAAAGTAATGCCTGCCATTCTACTGTGGTGGCCCATGATATCCAAGGCCGATATTGAAGGTTTGGCAGCAGAGGTTGAACCTTCCCACCAACATCCCATTCTCTTTGGGAACCACGTGACAGATGGATGCAGAGGGCAGTCTGATAAACTGACATCTGACATGGAAGTGCGTATGTGGCAACCAGGCAGCACTGACTTATGCCATGCAGAAACAATTGCACCCACTGAGATTCACCAACGCTTGTTGAAGGTTTATGGAGACCAGACAGCAGAGCTGAGCACCATGAGGTGGTGGGTGATGCGTTTAAACGTCAGCAACACAGGGTCACCTCCACTGCTGCAGATTATTATGAGCACAACATGCAGGCTCAGGTACACCACCGTTCAATATGCACAGATGTCACAGTGACTACATTGAAAAATAGCAATTTCCAGCTGTGAATCTGCACCATCCAACAGTGCGACAGTGTCTCTTTTGTCACTGGATATTACCATGGAAACAAAGAGCAGGCAATACTTTCAGAGCAATGTCTCTCTATGCAGCCTGCACCTTTCCTATTTACTCAGTGCAGCCCAGGCAAGCCACAACGCTGCACACCCACGTGTTGCGCTGTGTCCCAACACCACGAGTGCAGCTGTATTGCTGGCTGCTGCACTCAGCAATGACCCCGTTGAACAGCTGAGCTGCAGGAGAATGCATCAGAGTGGCTGGAAAAGAGCACAGCTGGATGGAGAGACATCATGACCAGGAGGCAAAACACACAGCACACACGGGGAGAAGCACAACGCTGCAAAGCAAGAAGGCAGTGCCTGCACCTCTTAAAACACAGGGCTCCAGAGCAGCACTCTCAGAACCTGCTGCACGTTTCTGTTCATCACCTTCCTTCAGAGAACATGCAGGGAAACCTTCCTTCTCACTCAGCGGTCTGGGAATGTGTGATGCCAACTGCAAACGCAGCTTCCCTCTGGAGCTCCATGCCATTGCACACAGCCCTTCCTTTCTCCACCCACTAAGACACCGGTTGGGCAGACTCACTGCTAATGAAGGGAACCCCAGAAAACTGCCCCACACACTGAGCCCCGCACCTCTGCACTTCTGCATCCCCACACGGATAAGCATGGCCCAAATGATCACCCAGCACAAGGGACAAGAAAGGAGCTGGGCACCGGGCAAAGAACCCCACTACAGAGGCAATCCCGAAACACACAGAACACATCAGAATCCTGTCTTTACATGGCACGTATAAAACAGGCACCGTGTTGTTGTTGCTGCTTAAGGGAGTAGAGGGAACACGAGGCATTCTAGACAAACACAAACAACCCAGCCCTCAGAAGCTCTCTCACACACTCAGATGCTGCCCACTACACTTCCAGGGGATCGTCAGCCATGCCAGCTCTGCCCCAGCTCTATCTGCTCTTGCTCCATCTCAAGTTACAATTACTGAACCATTTATAAAAAAGCACTTCTCACAAAAGGAACCTTTCACTGCAACAGACAGCACTGCACACCAATGGCATTCAAGACAAACCAAAACAAGTCACAGAGGGAAGTTGCATAATGGGGAATTAAACAAAAACCTTCTTACCCTCTTCATGATTTCCGTTAACGTCAGAGAATGCAGCCCATGTGCACAAAGCAAAGCTGCAACTGCCTGTGCATCCAGTGAACGTGGCTGGAAGATTAAATAGAGCAGGACAAACATATTTCCAGGCTGGAGCATTGGCAGGTCCCGCTCTCCTCACTCAGTGGCGTGCCTGGAAACGCTTGCATGCAAGCCCTCATCAGCTACAGGAAGCCAACCATTGCAACTGATGAACTCTGCTCGCTTCACAGGTGGCACCAAATCCAGCCCTCACATCCTGCACGCTCTGTCCTCATCCAGCTGGCACATGGGCTGTCAGCAGAAACACACATTTCTGGGGACCTCTTGAAACACAGGGAATTTCTGTTGTGGCCAGAGCTAGAAGGCTGAGGGACTGAAACCTAGGGGAGACTCAGAAAGCACACACTCACTTTCCTGTTAATATCCACAGCTTCCATTACACTTACGTTCTTGTGGAATGGGAGGTGAACTACAAATGCAGATCTAAACAAGCAGACATGGAGATAACTATCAAAGCACAGAAGCCTCACTAAACAATCCATGAATCAGCTGGAAGCGCAGACGCAGTGCTAATTACAAGCCGTGAAACTGTCCCACAGCCTGCATCCCGGGGCTCTCGACATCAGCATCCCCCACGGGGACAGGGACAGCAGGGAAATGCTCGGCATCGTCGCCGGCCACCCCCGTGCTGCAGCGCTGCGCCGGCAGGCTGGGCAGCACGGGCTTGAGGAACTGGAACTCGCTGCTGCCCGAGCCCGTGGTGAGGCTGAGCTCGTAGCAATAGGCGTGGGGCAGGGTGCCGGCAGCGGCCCCGTCAGCCACGCAGCTCGGCACGCCGCTGGGGCCGTACAGCACGTGCCCGCTACTCGGCTCCTTGCTCTTGCACGCCTTGCACGCCGCAAAGGCCGCCGCCGACACCAGGAACAGGAGCGAGACCAAGACCAAGGCGACGATCAAGGAGGCGGTGAGGGAGCCGTCGTCGTCGTGCGCGGCGGGGCTCTGCTGCGGCAGCTCAGCGTCCCGGGAGCCGTGCAGGAGGAGCACGCTGAGCGCCGCCGTGGCCGACAGCGGCGGCCGCCCGTTGTCCCGCACCAGCACGACCAGCTTCTGCTTCGCCGCGTCCCTCTCCGTCGGCGGCCTCCTCAGCCGCACCTCCCCGCTTTGGGCGCCCACGGCAAACAGCCCCGGCTCCGTGGCCCTCAGCAGCCGGTACGAAAGCCACGAGTTCTGCCCCGAGTCGGCGTCCACGGCCACCACTTTGCTCACCAGGTCCCCCGCTTCGGCCCACGCGGGCACCGGCTCGCTCCAAGCAGGGCCGCCGTCCTGCGCGCTGGGGTGCAGCACCAGCGGCGCGTTGTCGTTCTCGTCCACCACCAGCAGGCGGACGCCGACGCTGCTGCTCAGGGGAGGGGACCCCGCGTCCGCAGCGCTCACCACCACCTCCAGCTGCCTCAGCTGCTCGTAGTCCAGCGGCCGCAGCACGAACACGGCTCCGCTCTCGGAGTTCACGGACACGCACGAGCACGGCTCTCGCTCGGGCGGATCGGCCGCCACCAGCGAATAGCTCACCTTGCCGTTGGCTCCCGCGTCCGCGTCCCTTGCCTGCACGGCCCCGACCAGCAGCGCGGGGACGTTGTTCTCGTGCACGTACATGGTGTACGACGTCTGGTTGAACACGGGCGCGTTGTCATTCACGTCCGAGACGTCCACGGTGAACGTGTGGCTGCCGCTCAGACGAGGAGACCCTGCATCTGCGGCCGTGACAACCACCGTGTAACGTGCCGTTTGCTCCCGGTCCAACGCGCTCACGGTCACCAGCTCGTAGTAGTTCTTAAAGGCCGGCCGCAGGGAGAACGACAGCTGTTCTGCCAGGGCACAGCTGATCTCCCCATTCACACCGGAATCCTTGTCGGTGACAGAGAAGAGGGCGACCACTGTCCCGGGTGCTGCATTCTCAGGGATCGGGCTGCTGAAGGAACTGACCACGATCTCTGGTGCGTTGTCGTTCACATCCACCACCTCGATTAATACATGGCAGAGAGTCCACAGTCCTCCACCATCTGTAGCCTGTACGCTCAGCTGATGCTTCCGTGCAGCCTCAAAATCCAGAGGTTCTTTAACTCGAATTTCTCCATTCTTAGTGTCGATTGTAAACGGTAGTTGGCTCTGGCTCACAGATTGGATGAATTTATAGGAAATGTCACCATTGATTCCCACATCCGCATCCCTGGCCAACACATGGAGAACTAATGAGCCCTCAGGTGCATTTTCTGCAACTTGGCCATTATATGTATCCTGGGTGAAAATCGGTTTATTGTCATTTACATCCAGAACAATGATGTGGATTTGGACGGTTCCAGTCCTGGGTGGAGAGCCTCCATCCGTTGCAACGAGAGTGAAATCCATCTCTGGCTGCTCCTCTCTGTCCAGAGGCTTCTCCAAAACGAGCTCAACATTCATACTGCCCTCATGCCTCCTTTGAGTGAATACACGGAAATAGTAATTCACTGGAACAATGCTGTAAGCCTGGATGTCATTGCTGCCAATGTCCAGGTCCTGAGCTGCTGGCACAGGGAAACGGGAGCCCGGGTCACTGGTTTCCAAAATCTTAAAGGTCAGCCTTTCGTCCGGGAAGACCGGCGAGTGGTCATTGATGTCCTCCACGGACACCTCAATGGGAAAGAACTGCAGCGGGTCTGCGAGCAGCAACTCGAAGGCGAGCGTGCAGGTGCGGGAGCGTCCGCACAGCTCCTCCCGATCGAGCCGCTCGGCGAGCACGAGGCGGCCGCTGCCGCGCTCTAAGCCAAAGTGCTGCCGGCCGGCCGGCGAGGCGATGCGCGCCCGGCGAGCCCAGAGCTGCGCCGGGGCCAGCCCCGCGTCCTCCGCCACGTCGCCCACCGGCGAGCCGCTCTCGCCCTCCTCGGCCACGGAGTAGCGGATGGGCTCGCAGCGAACGCGCGCCACGCCCAGCAAAGCCCACACACACAGCACTTGCCTCGCAGCCGCCATGCCGGGCCGCCGGACACCCTCCGGCCGGCCGGGAAGCGCGCTCCTCCGCGGGAAGCGGCGCCCGGCAGCGGCGCGACGCGGCGCGGCGGGACGGACGGTGGGCCTCCCTCCCCGCTCGGCTCTCTCGCCGCCTCTCGCCGAGTAATGACCGAACCCGGAGCCTGGAGCCCGAAACCGCACGCTTGCCCGGCCCGGCGGCGGCTCACACGCACCTCACGGCAGCACGGACAACCGCTCGCCGCCGCTCTCCGCCGCCGCTCTCCGCCGCCGCTCTCCGCCGCCGCTCTCCGCCGCCGCTCTCCGCCGCCGCTCTCCGCCGCCGCTCTCCGCCGCCGCTCTCCGCCGCCGCTCTCCGCCGCCGCTCTCCGCCGCCGCTCTCCGCCGCCGCTCTCCGCCGCCTCCTCCCGGATGCGCTGCGCTGCGCTGCGCTCGGCTCAGCCTCTCCCTCTCCCCGCCCCGCCCGCAGCCGCTCGGCGCCGCCTTGGCCACGAGCACCACCCTGCGGCCCGCGCCGGGACTGCTCCGGGGACGGGACGCGCTCCTGCCCGCGCCCTCTCGCCGCCACACGCAGCGGACAACGAAAGAAGAAAACACGCAGCGCAACGCAGCTTCTCTTTCCAAATATTCCATGCCATTGCACTTTTAATTCAACACTTCCACACGCGCCGCGGCAATCGCTTGCTCTGTTTGGAGAACAGGATATTTCAAGGGGAGCACATCTGACAGTGCTCCATCACAATCCATGCAGAAAAATGAAAATAAAAGAAATGAAAATTCATGCAGCCTCTTCTAAGACTGCAGACTCTGCAGACCATATTGTCACCGCTGCTGTTCACTCTCATTGTGAATCCTCAGTAAGAAAGAATAAAAGATATGGCACTAAACTGAGGGCTTCTTTTACACTTCTGTCCCTGTTCCATTTGCACAGAATGTTCTTCAAGAGAATTCCTGGATTTGCGTTACAATCCATCCAAACACACTGAACTTCTTTATCTGAGGATAAGGAGAAGGCAGAGGTCCTCAACGCCTTCTTTACATCTGCCCTTAACAGGCAGACCAGTTATCTGTTATCAGTTATCAGCTATCCATACTTTACGGCCTGATCTGGAAGTCTGGGATGCTACAGACACTCCCAGTGATTCAGGCAGAGAGAGTGAGAGAGTTGCTCCTCCATCTGGACTGTCACAAGTCCATGGGGCCAGATGGACTCCATCCTAAAATGCTGAGGGAGCTGGTGGAGGTGATTGCTGAGTCACTCTCTGCCATCTTCCAGCGTTCCTGGTTGTCTGGAGAGCTCCCAGAGGATTGGAGGCTTGCTGATGTGACTCCCATTTACAAGAAGGGCCGTAAGGAGGAGCCAGGGAACTACAGGCCTGACAGCCTGACTTCAGTACCAGAGAAAGTTATGGAGCAAATCATCTTGGGTGAGATCACACGGCACGTGTGAGGCATCCAGGGGATCAGGCCCAGCCAGCACCAGTTCATGAAATGCAGGTTGTGCTTGACCAACCTCTTCTCCTTCTAGGACTGCATGATCAGACTGGTAGATGTAGGTAGGAAGGCTGTTGATGTACTCTACCTAGGCTTCAGCAAAGCCTTTGACACGGTCTCTCACAGCATTCTTCTGGGGAAACTGGCTGCCTGTGGCCTGGACAGGCATTCCTTTCTTTCAGTAAGGAACTGGCTAGAGGGCTGTGCCCATCAGTACTAATTAATGGAGCAAAGACCAGCTGGTGACCCATTACAAGTGGCTTCCCCCAGAGGTCAGTACTGGGGCCCATCTTGTTTAATATAATTGATGACCTAGATGAGGAGCACTGAGTGCACCCTCAAAAAGTTTGCAGATGACAACAAGTTGGGGGGTGGTGTTGATCTTCCTGAGGGTAGGGAGGCCCTTCAGCGGGATCTTGATTAGCTGGAACGCTGGGATGAGATGAATGGGATGAGGTTCAACAAGACGCAGTGCCGGATCCTGCACTTTGGCCCCAGTAACCACATGCAGTGGGTTAGGCTTAGTCCTGAATGGCTGCATGACTGTGAAGAGGAAAGGGACCTGGGCGTGTTGGTTGATGCTTGGCTGAACAGGAGCCCACAGTGTGCCCAGGGGGCCAAGAGGGCCAACAGCATCCTGGCCTGCATTAGAAACAGTGTGGCCAGGAGGAACAGGGAGGTGATCATCCCTCTGTACTCAGCACTAGGGTCGCCACCCCTGGACTACTGTGTTCAGTTTTGGGCCCCTCACGACAGGAAAGACATTGAGGCCCTGGAGCGTGTCCAGAGAAGGGCAACAAAACTGATGAGGGGTCTGGAGCACAAACCTTATGAGGAATGGCTGAGGGAGCTGGGATTGTTCAGTCTGGAGAAGAGGAGGCTCAGGGAAGACTTCATTGCACTGTACAACTTTCAACGGAGGTTGAGATGAGGAGGGTTTTGGCCTCTTTTCCCAGGCAACAAACAAGGAAATGGCCACAAGTTGTAACAGAGGAGGTTTAAGTTTGGCATAAAGAAGAACTTTTTCTCTCAGAGAGCAGTCAGGCACTGGAATGGATGCCCAGGGAGGTGGTGGAGCCGCCGTCCCTGGCAGTGTTCAAGAGGTGACTGGATGAGGAGCTGCGAGATCTGGTTTAGAGCTTCTGGTAGCAGTGGTGATGGGAGGGTGGTTGGATGGGATGATCTTGCAGGTCCTTTCCAAACTTGTGATTCTGTGATCTTGTCTTAGTTGACCTTCATGAGGTTGGCATGGGACCACCTCTTCAGCCTGACCAGGTTCCTCTGGATGGCATCCCTTCCCTCTAGCATGTCAACTGCACCACTCAGCTCTGTGGCATCTGCAATTCTGCTCAGCGTGCACTCAGTTCCACTGGCCATGTCACCTCCAAAGATGTTAAAGAACACCACTCCCAGCAGTGAGCCCTGAGGACAGACACACATCAACGGCCTCCACCTGGACATCGCAGTATTGACTACAACTGAGTGCGACCATCCAGCCAATTCCTTGAGCACCGAGCGCTCTGTCCATCAAATCCATGTTTTGTTCAATTTGGTGACCAGATGTCATGCACAACCTTATCAAACCTTTCACAAGTCCACCTGGATGACATCAGCTGCTCTTCATTCATCCACTGATGCTATAATTTCATCATAAAAGGTCACCAGGTTGCCATACATGACTTGTCCTTGGCGAAGCCATGTTGGTTACCACCAATCACCTCCTCTGTTGTCCATGTGCCTCAGAAGGGACTTCAGGATGATCTGCTTCATGATCTTGAAAGGCACACAGGTGAGACTGAATGGCCTTCAGATCCCTGCATCTTCTCATTTTTCCCTTCTTGAAAAGGGGGATTATATTTCAATTTTCCAATCAGTGAGAACTTCACCAGACTGCCATGACGCTTCAAATATGATGGATAGAGCCTTGGCAACTTGGTCTGCCTCAGAACCCGTGAACGGATCTCCTTGGATCCCATGCCCTTGTGCATCTGCAGCTTCTTCAAAAGGTCACCAACCTGATCTTCACTGACTGCAGGCACATCTTCCTTCTCCCAGTTCTTACCTTTGCTTTCTGCAGCTTGGGCCGTGCAGCTGGAGCCCTGCCTGGGGAAGACTTTCACAATCCCCAGCTCACCACACAGAAATATCTCTCAATTCACCATCAGCCTTTACTCATGTCATTACTTATGGGCAGTACGTACACTTGTCAACTATTGCTTTCAAGGAAGAAACATTCAATCCAAAATTCCTGATGAAGACATCAAGATCTCCGTAAGAATTGCATCCACTACCACCAAACCATTCTGATGCATTGCTGTCACCAAGAAAAGATCAAATATCCCACTGGTTTCAGGTCTTTGTTCCTCCCTTTTCAGAAGCTCTACAAAAAAAATACTAAAAATTTTGATGTTTTATTTCTTACATAACAACGATTCTGCATAATCTACCAGGGCAGCCCTGAAAGTAATGCCTCCTTATTTACTGCATTGGACCAACTTCTCCAAGGCTGATGCTGGAGGTATGGCAGCAGAGGCTAAGTGGTCCCACCAATATGCCATTGTGGATTTTGGTGCCAAGTGATGGATGGCAGAACAATGGCAGTCTGACAAAACTGCTTCAGACATGTAAATGCATACGAAGTACGACTGAATTCCTCCATGCAGAAGCAATCATATCTGCTGACATTCATCAAGGCTTAATGAATGTTTATGGAGACCAAACTGTGGATGTGAGCACCACGAGGTGCTGGATGAAGTAATTCAGCAGTGGCAAGGTCAGTTGTACATTAATATGAGCGCAACACGCGGGCCCCCATTCAGTGAAAACACATCGCCTTTCCTGTGGCCCCTTCATGTGCTGGAAGGCCGTTATAAGATCCCCTCGCAGCATTTTTCTTCTCCAGACTGAAAAACCCCAGTTCTTTCAGCCAGTCCTCATAACAAAGCTGCTCCAGCCCCCTCATCATCTTCGTGCTCCTCTTCCAGACCTGCTCCAACAGCTCCATGGCCTTCTTGTGTAGCAGGCACCAGAACTGGACACAGTCCTCCAAGCGGGGTCTAAAGAGAGACAAGTAGAGGTCAGAATCACCACCCTCAGCATGCTGGCCAGGCTTCTCTTGATGCAGACTGGGAAAGCTTCGGCCTTCTGCACTGCAGAGCACATTGTCGCCCATCTTCAGCCTCTCAGCAAGCAACACCCCCAAATCCTTCTCCTCAGGGCTGCTCTCAAGCCGTTCCCTGCACAGCCTGTATTTCAGCTAGGGATTGCCTTGACCCAGGTGCAAACCTCTCACTTGCCTTGCTTGAACTTCATGAGGTTGCCCTGGGCCCACCTCTTCAGCCTGATCAGTCCCTCTGGATGGCAGCCCTTCCCTCTAGCAGGTCAGATGCAAACTCAGCTTGGTGTCATTTGCAAACTTGCTGAGGGCGCACTCAATTTCCTTGTCCAGGTCACCTCCAAAGATGTGAAATAGAAACAGTCTCTGCACTGACCCTTGAGGGCCGATGCACATCACCA